TTCTATCATCACGTATATTCTATCCCGCAATAATATTATAGATTAATGTTAAATAATGTGCTTTGTATTGGAATTCTGTTTTATTCTTCTGTGGTAACTAATCATACATTAATTTGTGTGTATAAAGCCTATCGATGCATGTTGAAAGTAAAAGATTTAAAAACTCAAAAAAGGAGAGGCTAAAACCACTGGATTTTGTCAAATTTGTCACTGTCTTAACAACCACCAATGTCTAAAGAATTACAAAAATTTAAATCATTGCTAAAGTTAGCGTTGTGATTCATCTTCCTCAGTGATTGAAGAACCACTATAAACACTAATTACGTCGGTCTTGCAGTGATTTTGAAACATTTGCAATAATTTTTATGATGAGCATATTTAATATAAAATCTAAAAAGAGTAATTTCATCAAATAAAATAGCGCATTCAGAACATGCCAAAAGAAAGAATGCATTCTGGATGCACTATTTTGATTGGCGCAGTCAGCTCAAACAGGATGAGAGAAAGTCGCTGGAGAGAGGGGAATTGGGAGACATAAACGATTGGGAGGAGAGAGAAAGGGAAGAGGGTGGGAGAGGAAAAATGTTAATTTTGGAGCTTAATCTACTCGTTTATAAAATAAACCCCTGTTAATTATAGTAGTAGCCTGCAAAGTTTTATTTTCCTATGGTGATATGTTTTAAATATTAAAAATACTTTTTAAATGGATGGAATAAATTGTAGAAGCAGTTTAACATTGTTTCATTTTGTAGGATTTCTTTTAATCATTTCACAACGAATTAGTAGTGAAAATAAGAAGAATTTGATCTCCTAAAAACATTTCTTCAATAGCTTTTAACCTGAATGAAAAATCTATTTTAAAGGAGAGAGGGGATCTTAAAAATATGAAAGTTATTTTTTTATCCTTTATTGAATTTTGATTAAAAAAGGACACAACCGTGCTTGTCCACGCCGTTCAGCCCGCATAGGCCACAACTGTGCTCGTCCCGCGTCCGCGTCGTCCAACCCGCACAGACGTGCTCCGCGTCCACGCCGTCCAGCCCGCATATATACATGGGTCAGGTCCGGGTTGATAAACCTGACCCGTTTGCAAAACTAGGTCGGGTTAGGGTCAACCTGTTTACAGCCAAGTCAAGTCGGGTTCGACTCGAACCCGACCCATTGACCCGAATTGAGACCCCTACAATTGATCAACTCTGACACATATTTTAGGATGTTTTGAACTATAAAATGACAATTCGTGGTTTGAGATAATTTTTAGTTATTATTTTTTCACTGTTTTTAAGAAATTTTAATATTAAAAATCTGATGTAAAAAAACAAGAAAATTATCTCAAACAAAGTTTATTTTTTATTTAAAAAATTATTTAAAAAAATAGTAAGAAATTTTTTCCAAACTAAGCCTTTAATTTGATCATGATGGTTTTCTATTTATTAGATTTATTTAAAGATGAATGTAATAAATGACTAGGCGATTGATATTTATATTTAACTAATCTTAATTTACTTTCAATATGCTAAAGTTGCATTCTAATTCAATTTAAATCTATACTTTTCTTCTACTTCACACATCTTTAGACATGTCAATGCCTTAAGTGAGCTCACATCTTAAAACAATACTTTTCTTCTACTTTCAATGCATTTATAAAAAATAATTGACTAACTATTTATCATGATGCATATTAAGTCAAATTTTTTTTATTCATTATATATTGATTTGATATTAAAAAGTAGAGCAACAAATATCATTCTTTTTATAAATGCCAAGACGAGCTATGATAAAAAAAATAAAAAATAAAAATCATCCCAAACAAATTATAAAAATCAAATTAAATATTTTTAGAATATTTTTTGGCTAACATACTAATAACACATATTATCTCATAACTTCAATGGGAAATGACATAATCCAATTATTTAGGGTTGATAAATATAGCTAAAATACAACATTATAAGCTTAATATTATAAGAAATATACATTTCTATTAACTAATAATGATCATGTATATATCATGTTCTTTATTTTGTATAATGAGTAAATTGAGCTTAAACATTTTTAGTAATATTGTTTATTTTTTTAGACATTTAGGTCAATTAAGATAAATTCACATATATATCACATATACAATACTCGAAGTTAGGGGTGTCAATATTTGACACGACACGAAAACCCGACCCGGAAAATCCGGGTTGAACCCGACCCGATTTCAAAACGGGTCGGGTCCGGGTTCCAGAAATCGACCCGTTTCAAAAAACGGGTCGGGTTCGGGTTGACCCGGCGGGTTGCCCGGTCAACCCGCCAACCCGTTTAATTCGAAAAAATTCAAAT